AATCCAAAATTTGAGTATTTTTCTATGTTATGTTCATGTTTATGGTCATAAACTTTTTATTTAATAAAATATGTTTTCATAGTTTGTGTTGTCCCTTATTATCAATGCAAAATGGTCACTAACTAAAGAGGATTTATGCTGATATTGCCCAAAAACCCTATTTTGTTCAGGCGTTTCCAAACTTTTGGAGGGCAGTGTAGATGAGTTAAAAGAGCGAGAATACTGGCCTACCAAGGCACGGTGTGGTACCGAACTAGGAACAGCTATGTTAAAAATAATAAACTTATGATCAGACAGAAAAAATTCTTTGATACCTACATCACTGACTAAAAGGCCATATGATAGAATTAAATCAAGTGTGTACCCTTGGTTATGAGTGGGACCAACAACAGATTGTATAAGATTGAAGGTGTCAATAATTTGTAGAAACTCTAACCATAGGCTTCGAAGGACAACAAACATGTATGTTAAAATCGCCCAGTATCAAGAGCCTATCTGCATTCGGCACAACAGAGGATAAAAAGTCTGAAAACTCACTTAAAAAATCCTTATTGTACTTGGGAGGTCTATAAACAAGTATACACAACAGTGGATTACAGCCATCCATCTTAAATAACTGAACTTCAAAACTAGAAAACAATTCTGAGACAAGTAGACGGCATTTTAAATTATTTCTATAAATAGTAGCTAAGCCCCCACCACGACCGACTGACCTTGTCGTGTTAAAAAAGTTATAATCTTTAGGACAAACTTCAGAGAGTGGACCAAGTTCACCGGCATTTAGCCACGCCTCAGTCATAAACAAAAGGTCCAACTCATGAGATAAAATTTGTTAATTAATTGCATATGTCTTGTTTGAAATCGATCTTACATTTAGCAACGCCATCCTCACTTCAGTGAAGTCCGTTTCCTGATGAGTGGATTGATGGTAATATGGAATAGGATTATGTTGATGCTCTGACAACGGGGAATAATCCAGTGAGCGAAGGTTCCGGGGATTTACTCCTCTTCTACAGACCCGTAGTCTGGGAGAAGTACTCCTTGACGAGAGCACCAATCCTAGTTGTTCCGGATAAACAGACATGGCACCACGCTTGAGAGACCATGAATACAAAAACCGGCCATGGTCACAGCTGGAAGCCAGACTCCGAGAGTCCGCATGACTCGGGCCTCCAAGCGACGACGCGCGGAGGTACCACCTCACGCGTACCAACACACCGCCACGTGTTCCCCGTCTTCGATAACGTTTCTTCCTCTGATGATTGTACCCTCCGTGATTTGAATCAGAAACAGTTTCTACGATCCTTCATAGATTAAGAAGAAACGAGCGATCATAAGCAAGCACTGTGGTAACTTTTTGTGCAGACGTAGACACAAACAAGACAAATATACTCAATAAAGAGAACACAGGCACCAGGCAACGGCTTGCCAAACTCCACACTGGCGCACAGTTCAAAGCAGTGATGTCTTTCCCAAAACAAGAAACATTGTTGCATTCCGAAAGATCAGACAGGTTTGCTGGATATGCTACCAGAATCTACTATAAAGCTGGGACTCATTCATCATGCTTCTGGAGTGCTTCACAGTCAAATTGGGGTCCTTTAAGCAGCATTTCATTATAGTGCCTGTATTTTCCGAGAAGATATTATTTTAATAACAATAGTGAATGATCATGAACGGTGAAAACAAATGCAATAAATGTACAAGTTTTACAATATTCTTAAAATTAGTTAAATGATCTTTTTGAGAGCCAGCAGAGATTTGCTGCCCTCTTCACAGTGCACTGTGCAATGTAGTCCATGCAGGGCTACACTGATCTGTGGCCCAATAAATGAAAACATATTTCTATTGTTTGTACAGTAATATAGTAGAAATATTTTATTCTGGACTTCACTAAGGCAACGATTAGGTTGGCTACTGGGGAAAACCACTGTTTAACAAAAAAAAAAAAAAAAAAAAAAAAGACCTTGAACAGTGCATATTCTATTCACTCATATTAATGAACTTGGTCTTTTTTCCCCTGAGCAAGGATGCCAGGTTCCACATATGATGTTGCAGATACTGCAAACTGGAAATGTGCACCACTGTTAACTTGTTTCTATGGTGGCCGACAGGGGCCAACGTGCTGCAAATACAGAACACACATGCAAATACAGGAAACAAATGCAAAATCAGAAATGCTGCAATAAGCAAAAAAGACAACGGAAATGGTTTACAACAAAAAGGAAATATGTTTGCAGGACACATGTTGGAAACACCTGGCTGACTATTTGAATAATAACAGAGTTTATGGACTGATGGTATTTCTAGTTTGTGACCTAGTGAGCCAGTATCAGAATGTATTTTTGATAGACTTCAAAGCACTATTGTAAGTCGCTCTGGATAAGGGAGTCTGCCAAATGCCGTAAATGTAAATGTAAATGTAAAATGAATAAGAAATTAAGAATAAAAATGTTTACAAATAAGTACTGTGAATTGCTGTTATTGTTATTTCATTTTTGTGTGTTAGTTTCTTTATGTAAATATACCATTTTGTAGTTAAATTGCTTTGGTTGCGTTGGAGCTCGTGGACGCTCGCTTTCCGGTTCAAGCTAGCTAACATTAGGCTAAATATTATATTGTGTAAACCAGTTTGCTAAGTTTGCCAAAAAGTCAGCTAACTTTAGGCTAACTAATATATTAGGCTATATAACTACACCTAATCAGTTCAGTGCAAATTAGCCTAATTATGCTCATAATATTCCATCCATTCTCATAGATTAACTGGAGGTTAAGATTATCAACTTTATTTTAATAATTCATAAATATAATAGTGTATATTCTATAAATATTTTATTTACAGTTTAAATGTTTAAGTCTAAATAAATAACCCCATCAGTCTATCCTACATATTGTAATTCAAAAATGATAGGGGAAGCCCACTTTCAACAGTGACAGTTAAATTAATAAAAGAAAAGCAGTAATGTGCATGGATTTATTTTATTTATTTATTTTTTTTTTTTTGCCAATTCTGCTTCTTGTTACTAGATTGATGTTTTTTGCACACCAAACAGATTAGCCAATGCTGAAAGAGGACCTGGAATGTGCATGTGGTGACCTTGAAGAAAGTAACAAAAAAAAAACCTTTGCTTTTTATAGCAGGCACCCAGAAATGTACATTTTTGTCTATTTTCAGCTATTTCTGTGGTAAATGATATTATGTAAACTTGAGAGACTAATGCTTTGATTTTGAAGAAGTCAAATACTTTTTCAAGAATTGATTCTTTTCTTTGCATATACCAGCTTGTTAGGAAGCTGGGGTCAGCTGAAGAGGGTTAAGACCTTAACCTCTGAAGCAGAGAGGGTTAAGGGCCTTGCTCAAGGACCCAACAGTGGCAGTGTGGTGGTGCTGGGGCTTGAACCCTGGACCTTCTGATCAATAACCCAGAGCCTTAACCACTGCCCCACTACTGCCCTCATTTATGATTTATGTATATGATGACAGAAAGTTAGCAAAGACACTGCACAGCATGGTCAAAACATTAGTGCAATAATGTGGCATACTGTCAAAGCACCAAGCATGTTAAGCATGCATGGAGCACATTTTCTAATGTTTTCCATGTTACTTTACTTGGGGATAAACCATAATCTATATGATTTAAAAAGTTTAATTAATTAGCATTTTTTTCAGGTGGGCTACAGTGCTACCTGATGTATGCTGTATTTTTATATATATATATATATATATATATATATATATATATATATATATATATAAATAAAACATATAAAAAAATAGCTACTATGTTTTAGGCCTCACTATAAACTTGTGCACAAGAAATGTGTGTTTTTTTTTTAAACACATCTTTCACAGAGAAAGTAGTAATTTAATTTTACTGTTGCCTAAAGGTGATTGATCACACCATTTTTAATTTTATTACTTTGCCTTCTAGGAGCAAAGCTTGTATATATTAGTGGCTACATATAAGATGTCTGAATAAGCCTACATTTTAACATCACCTAATGTGCATCTTTTTTAACTTGCAGTGAAAGAGATAATAATGAAACAGACAAATTATAATAGTAGTCTGTTTTTAAAAAAAAAAAACAGTTGTGATTTGCTGAACATAAAGGGAGCTCAAATGAACAAAAAATGGGAAAAGAGAGTCTGTAATGCAGGAGTGCAATGGCCAAATAACCTGATCTTTCTTCTTCCTCTTTATTGTGCTGTATTGCAATCTGCAGTATCGCATGAGCTCTTAATGAATCTACACTACCTAATGATGGAAGTTGTGTCATATGTGTCTTGATAGAGGCCCCTTTGGTCAGGGGTTTGATTCCTGCCTCTGCCCTGTGTTTTTAGTGGTAGTGTTGGCTGAATGGATAAGGCTCTTGGTTACAGCTCAGAAGGTCAGGAGTTCAAGCCCCAGCACTGTCGAGCTACCTACTAGCAAGCTGGGATATGTGAAAAACTACATTTCATTGGCTCTGCACAATGACAGTAAAACCTAATCATGAAAAAATGACACAAACCAAAATCTATTCCTAGTTGAGTTGGTTACAAGCTCCAATCCTTTCCTTACTAAAGTTTTTATTACTGGATTGACTGGGGTTGGACTGTTGGAATGATGAATGGATTGATTGGAAGATGATGTTCAGGGGCCTCGTTTATAAAGAGTGCATATGCACAAAAATGGGTATGGAATGTGCATAAAGAAATACTTGGCAGGAAACTGAGTGTATATTTATGGAAGCTTTGACTCATGCTTAGATCCATCCGCAACATTTTAGAAACAGTGGGAATTTGTGGCTCTCTGTGGATAAGTAGAGAATTACAGCTAAATGTGCAAATCACCACATTCACACTTTACACTTCATATCAAATTATCCATAATAACTGCATAAAGACTACTTGTAAATGTAAAGCATTAAATCATAACAGCATTTTTATTAGTTCATTTATTTATTTGTTTATACTAGTTAGTTAGGCCGTTTCTATATATTGATATTTATTACTTCAATTATGTGCTGAGTTGGTCTCAAGTTTAGAGAGACTAATGTGCAATGTCCACTTGCAGGTCTTAACAATCCATAGATGGGTTGAGAATATCCCAGCCATCCTTAAGCTCCTTAATCATGTCAGCCATATTGGTTGGCATAATTAAATTGACAAGTTAGTATATCAGAGTTCCGTACATGGTGAGTGAACACCGCAATCAAAGCGCAATTTGCAGCAATGTCCAGTTTCCCAAATGTAATCAGAGCAAATGACTCATGTTACTATAAAGGGTGCCTAGTCAGAATTCTGTCAACTGAAAGCAATTTAATTCTATAAATGAACAAGTCATTTTATTCAAAACCTACATAGCGCAGAGGAGATACACTATAATGATGTGCTCTCTTGCAGGGGCACGCTTCAGACCGCACCACTGGCCTCCTTAACAGGTGATGGTGTTGTCTGTATGCGACAGGTAGGTGATTTAGAGGGCATGTGCTGTGCTGCACAACATGACACACCAGAATGTGCTCCCCTAACTACCAACCCGATTAATCAATGAACATCTCTACCCACCAGATAAGCCTAAACCATTTATAGATATTTGTGGGCGGTAACTGGCAGGAAAAGAGGCTTTTTCACCTATGCATATTTTCAAGAACACTGATTTATAAAGTGGAAACAGAGTGCAGGTGTGTGTATGTAAGGTTGTTTAAATTAGATTTTTTGGGGCACAGTGCCTTTTCAGCACCACTGTTCTGTAGAGTGAACAAGTGGAGAATTTGAGCACTGCTGGTGGCCAGTAAGGACTGCAGCAGCTGCTCACCCTCACAGAGAGGCCGATAGAGTATAAAAGGGCGCGGCAGCTACATCAGGGTAAGCCGTCTCTCAACTGATGTTGTCTGCTTTCTATCTCTCCGTCGATGACAGTGATGACAACCAAGCTCACCTCCTGCACTACGTCGAGGGCTCTTTTCCCCAGCACCCAAGTGAGTGCCTCCAGATCTGGTCACCACCACCTGCCAGCCCACGCCACTAGGTCTGGCCCATGAAGCCCACTGAGATGCCCCTCCCTAGCACCTCCGCTCACAAGGCCAGCACTGCTCACACCACCACCCTGCCACTATCGCCTCACCCTAAATAAACTCACCTATCCTGTCTCTACTGTATCTGTGTTCTGCCCGTGGCTGCAGCAAGTTGCTACAATGGGCTTATTTGGAACACCCATAGGGTTAAATGGTACACTGGTTAGGTATAACCAATGGGCAAAGTTCTTTGTTTGAATTTAACCAATAGAGTGGGACAACATCTCAATCATGTCCTATATATGAGTCGTTTATATCACCTGTCGTTGATGATCTGAGGTATTGGTCAGTCTCCTGAGCCAAGAGTATTGCAACTAAGGACTCATTTGATAAAGATCATTTGAAAAAAGGTGTATGTCTTAAGTTCCAACAAACAGGTCACCACCTCATTTCATTTAAAATGAGTCTTATTCATAATATACAGTATGCAACTCAACAGGCTACTTCATCAAGCACTCATGTTAGCTACTGCACACCTTTTTGCTGAAAATCTTGACTTTGAGTGATTTACCTTTTACCCCACAGAACTCGATCAGGTGAGTGAATGCTTAGAGTCACTGTTCTACCACACTCTAAATAATGTAGGCCCACTAATCAGAGAGAACAAACTAGTATCCTGTTATATTGATCATATTTGCACCTTAAACAGACCACCTGTAAGTTAGAACATGGTATCAAACTCAACTGGTAGTATTCCAAAGGCTCTTACTGCATATCTCTCCACCCTAATAGAAGATAATCCTAGATTCTTATTTGATATAGTGGCAAAGTTAACTAGGAAAAAGACCACTGAAGCACTAATTCACAAATTAGTAAACCTGTGGAAAAAAATCTCAGCAAAGGCTTGACATTTAGAATTCAAATTTAGTGGATCTCTTTGGGAGCTAGTGCTGATGGTCTCAATGACTTCTGGTCTACCTCTGTTGCTAAGGGGAGGACACAAAGTGCTTGACCCCTAAATTGCTGCTTGCAGCTATATTTCCAGTGCATGAAATGCAATGCATTGTTATTTCTCATATTTACAGCGTTTGATTGTTACTGATAGTAAGAGAAATGGGATAGGTGTGGTCTTGAAGGAGGAATGTTCTGGAGGTGAAGAGAGTGTCAGACAGGGTCAGGAGTCTGAAGTTAGAGATTGAAGGGGTGATGTTGAATGTTGTTAGTGGTTATGCCCCACAGGTACATTGTGAGTTAGAGGAGAAAGAGAGATTCTGGAGTGAATTAGATGAGGTGATAGAGAGTATTCCCAGGGGTGAGAGAGTGGTGACAGGAGCAGATTTTAATGGACATGTTGGTGAGGGGTGCACAGGTGATGAGGAGGTGATGGGCAGGTTTGGAGTTAAGGAAAGGAACCTTGAAGGACAGATGGTAGTGGATTTTGCTAAGAGGATGGACATGGCTGTGGTTAACACTTACTTTCTGAAGAGGGAGGACCATAGAGTGACTTACAAGAGTGGAGGTAGGAGCACACAGGTAGACTACATCCTATGTAGAAGAGGCAGTCTGAAAAAGATTAGTGACTGTAAAGTGGTAGTGGGAGAGAGTGTAGCCAGACAGCATAGGATGGTGGTGTGTAGGATGACTTTGATGGTCTGTAAGAGGAAGAGGTCAAAGATAGAGATAGAGAAGAAAACCAAGTGGTGGAAGCTGAAAAAGGAGCAATGTTGTGG